GTTTCTAAGGTTCTTCATCTAAACATTAAAAAAGTTGTTAAACATCTGAGTGGCGCACTACTGCTACTAGTGGTGAGGAAGTGTATTGCACTTTATTCAAAATCAAWGCGGTCCCGCGGCCCTCTGCGGCCCAAAGTTAAAAACTGTTGTTCTTTTGAGGCCCTCAAGGTGGCGCTCACGTCCCACAATTGGGCCGCGGCCCATGGGTTAAGAATCTCTGAAATAAAGCACAGTGTTTTCCAAYGCCTGAATGTTAATTCTCCTAATAAGCATCGTGACAGACGTCTCAGCCATTGCTGCAGAAAATTTGTGCAGATTTTTGGTTTTAATTTGGGTTAATAATGTGCTCCCAACACATGCTGTTGCTCCTTCCTGTTAGTCTAAATCTGTTTACTGTGACTGTGAGCTCATAAAGTATCCAGTGTTCCAAAAACCCTTCTGCGCTCTAAAACAGCTTAAACAGTTTTCATTCTTGCGGGAATGTTGTCAACACGTTTTTGGAACGTCGCTGCATAGATTCATGGTGGGCAAACGAGGAAGCTGTTGGCCCAAAATCAGTTTTCCTGTCCATTCCAAGGATGTTGAAATGTTTTTTTTTTTTTGTGCCGTCCAGTTTGGGTTTTTCCTGCCAAACAGGAGGAGGATATAAAAACCTTGTTGGGCTTCTCTTTGTGCATCGGAGTATTGTCTTTTTAAAGCAAACACATGTGGACAAGGTCATCCTTTCTCTATGGTGCACCAGTTGGACTTTTTTCTCCCACTCAAATATTGACGTTTTATTTTCCAAATAAGGTGAAAACTATTTGAAGATAACACAATATGTAACATTAAAGGTGCATCAGGTGCAGCTGTACACAGTTGGCCTGCCAATTTAAATGTTTTGGTTCCAATTTCTTAGTCAGAATTTTAAAAAAGCTTCTTTACTCCATTCACAGTCTAGATTAAATTGAAAATGTTGATTGTGTGTTCCTATTAAAATATTTTCCACATATCTTTTTATAATAAAAAAAAGTTATAAAGGCTTTCTCTCTCACTGGAATTTTCTAACAATATATTTTAGGTTATTTGACAAAATAATTTGCGAACAGCTCAGTATGTTCCCATGAAAACAAAAAAATGACGATTAGGATTTTGGCCGATGCTGATTATTTTTTGTTATAGCTGCTGCTGTCAGGTGTTATAAGGTCACAATACACCTTCAATGTTCCAATCTTATTTTATTGAAAAACATTGAACAACACCCTTGAAACAATGCAAACTTGTATTAATTGGACAATAGCCCTCTCTCACAGCAAAGCAAAAGGGGACAGCGGCTGATTTTCAGAACTTTAAAGGATCTGCTTCTCATGTAAGTATCGTCCGACCGCCATTATCCTAAATTTAAGGAAATCAGCTGTCTGATTTATCAACTCATTACCATGTGGAAGAACCATACACAGTTAAAAAGTCCTAGCTCCTCCTCCTCATGCTGCAGTCAGGCTCCTGATTGTCAGCACCTGGAGTACCTGAACCCTAAAGAACAGAGTCAATAACAGAATAAAGTGAGATTTGGTAAGTTGTATTTTCGGTGCCACTATACTTTAATTACAAATACATTTCCCTGAGTGTGGCTTCAATTAAGAGGAAATAACCAGGCTGTATATGATTTATGCTGAGGAGCATTGTTGCAACTAAGAAATAATTAATCAAGCACAAATTTCATATGTTTTGTGCTAAGTTAATATAAGACTGGTGTACCAAGTAGCTGCACATTGTTTCTTAAGATGCAGTAAAACAACAACCCTTTAGTTATTTTAGTCTAAACCACTGTTCATGTGTGAAGTTTGCTTATTTATTTTTCCCCATAGAAAATTCACTCAACTCGTGTCTTTATTGGAAGTGTATAAACGGATCTCACTCCCTGCTGTAATTAATCCAAGCTGACACACACCTGCAGCTTGTCGTCACGTCCGACTTCCAGTCTTCTTCAGCTTTTCAACTTATTTTCAGGATCACACTCCCAACAGACCAGACGTGATTTAAATTTACATAAATGGTAAAATACTTGTGCGACTCTTGGGTCTTTTTATAATTTCTGCCAGATGGCAATATTTTACCTTTAATACTTCATGGAGTGAAGAGTTTGTGGAAACAGATAAAAGTAGAAGAAAATGGTCTTTTCTCAGCTTTGCTTATCTCTGTTCATTTTTACAAATGAGATCAATATTGACTTTGTAGGGAAAGTTTAAAGAGCAGTAATCATTTCTTCATGAGTTAAAGCTTTTTGCCAAGAAAAAAAAGATTTAGCTGGGTCACACACCCTTATCTTTAACTTATAAATTAATCCTTTAAAACAGATTATATCGTTAATTTGAGTGTTTAGAGATCGTTCACTACACTGAAAAGAACATTAATAAGAACATCAGAAAATATTTGAAACTTAGCCTCAATTGCTCTTTTTTGTCAGGGTTAACTCAAAGTAGATTTTACTACGATTTTATCGTCTGGTGTTAAATTAAAGACGAAATATAATTATATATTGGCAGTCTTAATCTGCAAAAAAGCTATTTTAATTCTTTTTCTTTAAAGTTCATGTAGTGCAACTATCTACAAATAACAGCTACACTTTCAGAAGCAAATAAAGGTTAGATCTGAACTAAACTGTTAACGCAGCTGAGTGAAACAGACTGGCAGAACCAGGCTGATAAACACTATCATGTCATATTCTGCTAAACGGACGCTGATCAGTACAGCAGAAATCTGTTCTTTCTGGTGCAAAGGAGATATTTCTGACAGCGTGATGGACACCGGAAGAGAGAGGGGAAAAAAGAGAGCGGAGTTGCACAGATTAAACGTATATTTGAAGCAAACAGACATAACGTTAAGCTTCACGCCTGCCAGCAAACAGCGAAAACTTATCACCGTCTCTGCTCCGAGGAGCGAGACTCCGTCCACAACCTTCTGAGCATAAACTGCTGAAGATGTGAGGATGAAGGAAAGACTGGAACTAAACAGAGTTCCTTTGTTCCTCAGCTGCTCCAAAATATTCTGTGTGCAGTCCTGGAGTAGAACCAAAGAAAATAAATCTTGCTTGTTTGATGTAAATTTCATGAAACTGGAAGAAAAAAAACTTTATTTTTTCACTTTTACCAGTAGAAAATCAAATCAAAACTGAATAAACATGATGGAATTTGAGTCCTTTATTTGTCACAGTTGTGATATTTTTACTGTTTTCTCCAGAATGAATACATTTTTCCTTTGTTCAAACTGATTTGTTTCAGTTTCATGTCTTTAAATTTACCACGTCGACAATAAGTAAAAAAAACTTGATTTCAGTGTTTGACAGTCACTTCTGTTCGACTCAGAGCAGCTATTCTACAAGATTATTCTTCTCATATTCATCTAACTGTTTGTTTTATCGACAAATTACTTCTTTATTTGGTTGTAAATTTTATTGGAGTGAAAATTTGGTGCGTCCAATTGACATTCCAAATAATGGGAATGTTTTTTTTTCTTTTAATAAGAGGTTATTTGTTTCATTTTAAATTCTAGGGCCGGTGTGTTTAGTGTCAATTTGTGGAATGAATATAAATGTTCATATAACAGCCCCCGTTTGTTTACCACCAGCTAGGACTTAGTGATGCATGTATCTAATAAAGGCAAATAAAGTTAAATAAAAGAAAAATAGAAAATGGCATGTCCGTAGAGAGGGACTTATTGGAAAACACACTTCTTTAGCGCTGCTGTTCTTTAGTTGCTGGTGATTTACTCAAGCTACCAATTCAAATGGTGTGGATTAGTCAGTAAGCCTGTTACACATGTCTGTCAGCTGTTGGGATTGTGTGTTTGTGTGTGTGTTAGCAGTGGTTGAATAAATTGCCTTGGATTTTCTCTCCTCCTWGTCCGACTCTTATGATAATTTGTTTGCCTGAATGACTGAAAGAGTTTCTGCAAATAAGGCTAATTAGCTAACACATTTTCTTCCACATAAACGATTATCCTGATTACACCCAGACGACAGAGCGAGGGAACGGATAAACTCCATACACAAAACAATAAGCAAGAATATAAACACCGTCCTTTCTAATGTTTGTCTTCTCTCTCTTTGTTTTGCTCTCTTATAGACGACATCAGGTGAAGAYGTGAGAGATTTCACCAAAGTGCTGAAGAACAAATTCAGGTCGAAGAAGTATTTCGCCAAACACCAACGACTTGGCTACCTGCCTGTTCAGACTGTTTTAGAGGGTGACAACATGGAAACGTAAGTATCATCACAACAACTCCAGTCAAAAAAAAGTTGCAATGTTTTTTTTATATCTGTCATCAGACAATAGCTGCGTTTCCATAGCAAATGTGCGCAAAACTTTGTCGATATTCTGTTAATGTCGATAAAACACAGTTTCGCAATTGCGGTGTTTTCATTAAGTAAGAAATGCTATTAAAGTCACGCGTGAATACGTTTTTTCTCATGATAAGTCATTAAAAACATGGCGGCAATGCATGTAAACACATAGCATGTTGCTACCACGACACTAGCGCTCATCATCGGCCATCAGAGGAGACGTCGGCATCTTATCGAGGCTATCATGGCTCCTTATACTTGGGAGTGGCTGCGTATGCAGCGTTTTTGGGAAATTGTAGTTGGTGAGTTTACTACTTTCTTTTACAACTTTGATGATTTCAGTACTACTTCTACTTCCTGTTGTTTTCTTCGTCGTCGTCTTTTTAGCCAGTAGAAACAGCCAATTGTTGATTACGTGACTCCCGTGATGCGAAAAAAGTGTTTCCATTGCAGTTTTGCGAAACACACCAATTTCGATACGGCCAAAAAACCAACTCTTCCTAGCACAAAAACCTTTTGTCGAAAAAAGGAAGCTTTTTCGAAATTGACGTGYTTCCATTGAGCAAATTTATTTTYGAAATTCTAATTTGCGCATTTTCATGGTCATTGGAAACGCAGCTAGGGAACGTTCATAACCTGTCTGCAAAACCCCACTTACTGTATAAAYATCTGGATCTTTCTTTTCAGTCATGTTTCAGTTAGAAGGTGATGAGGGAAAAAGGTACACATTCAGATTATGATGCTCCTTTTCATTGACTGCTGTACAGTGCTCTATTTTATTTCTGCAGACAAATACTCCATTGTTTTGGTCCACTGACTGTTTTACATTTAATTTAAATAAGAAGTAAACTAAAAACCAATATATTTTACTAATAAAAATAAAACAGTAATGACAATAAAAATCAGGTGAATACAGATATAACTAACACCCATAGAGTTAAATAACACTAGCATGAGCCCTGTGCATTTCCTATCCACTGTTAATGTCTGTGATGAGGAGCAAAAATGGCGACAGCTCACATTTGCCTTAGCAACAATTAGATTAACAGTAAACTCATCTGGATCTGTCAAAAAAATTTGTAGGATGTTTGTATAATGAATRTAATTGTTATCTATTAATTTCATTCAAAAGTTATGTAAAACATCTAGATACATACAAGGAAAATATACAATTTAAAATAATGATCTAAACCAGACCTGAAGTCAGTCAATAACTCAGATTTTTTTTAGTTAGTTGAAAAATTATGACATCAACGATTATTTCTTACCTGTCATAAATAATTATAGTAAATATTTACCAGTCGACACTTAGAAAATGTTCACTGCAGTGCTACGCTGTATAACAATATATGCTACAGAAAAAGGCAGTTTTATTTCACCATATCGTCGTATCGAGCCGCACGCTCGTATTCCTAAACAAAAGCAGCTATCTCCAGGAGGAAATTTGCTGTCAGTCAATCCAAGAGTTAATCCACAGACAGAATTCTGCTGACGTTAAAATCATAAGCACGCTGTACTCGCTTCTGCCCGAACCACCGGAGAGGAGGTTCTAAGACAGTGCGGCTGTGGAGCGCGCTTGGAGAGACGCATAGGACTGAGACCAAGCAGAGTCGAACCGTGTACAAGAGGGTCCGTGGAAATTGTGTGCYGAGGCTGTCACTGTTAGCAGTGAACACCAGAGGGTGCAAATTAASATCTTTCTTTGAGGTACCGAAGTYAGAATTGTGTTTCGGTCTGTGTACTACCTTTGATGTTTGCTCCGGTGCCATACTGGAACCCAGTTTTKGTACCCAACCCAACATCCACTTTGATGTAAACAGGATCAAATCTTCTAACTTGTGAAATGAAACGTTTTATGTTTCTCTTCTATTGGTACATCCACAGCACAAACAGCGTTCTGACATGTTTATATACGTTTTTAGCTTAAATCCACTCTAATATATTAATAATATTTTGATTCACATAATCATTTTTAGTTTCTAAAATTTTACATAAACAGCCCTTATTGTTCACTCTTTTGCCAAAATGTACAGTAATGCTAAATCCAGACTCTTGCCTGTTCTGCTTAGCGTCACCACTGCTACAGTAAATGGTCAAACTCACTCCTGCCATTCTATAGACCCTCATGYTTACACCAAACATAAAAATCAATATGTCATCTCTTATAGTTGTAAATAAAAGGCTACTTATGAACTGACTTTGAAGTTGCTATAAGACTGGTTGTACAGTTTCTCCAGTCCAATGGGACAAATACCAAACTCAGGGAGAAGTTAGACAGAAATCCCGTCTGCAGCAGCGCCCACATCCATTCAACTTTCAATCACTATAAATGCCAGTTGTAAATCCTTCTGTAAAATGGTTCAGCTTGACTTGTATCACACAGAAGCCCCGACAGAGCTCCTCATTTTCCCAAAGATTACATCTAAGCTGCAGATTTCTGCAAATGCTAGTCTGTGATGATAGTGTTCTTGAACCCTGTAGTTCTTATTTTTTTTAATTTGTAATTTTGTATTGGTTTAAAACACACCCCCAACTCGGCGCTCTCAGTGACTCACCGGTTCATTTCCGAAAGCTTTTGGCCCGACTTGAAGTTGCACACACCATCGCTGCTCAGCTGTACTTCACTGCCGCTTTGATTTTTACCTTCCTYATCCATCCTCCTCCTCACCTYCCACCTCTCCCCGCTCTCRCCTCCACTCCACTCTGAAAAATGGCTCCCGCAGAGCTGCCTTCCTGATAAATGTCTCTGAAGGGTAGAAAAATCAGCGCGCAAGATCTTGTCAAAATATAGTAGTGTGGAAGGGAGTGTTGGAGAAAATTTACYGCCRGTTAACGGCCATTTTCCAGCCTCTCGTGCTGCATCRGGGCTCTCCTCTGAACTGCGAGCGATTTGTGTGTCTCTAAAGGCTTCTGGACACAGAGGAAGTTATTTTGAAGAATTTGTGCTGCTTATGGGATTTCTATCCAACAAATGAGTGTTAGGAAGTTTTCTTATTGTCTCTTATTGTCCCAGCTTGGCAGCTTTTGTTTTTTAATAATAAAAAAACACCAACACTTCACTAAAATGTGTTTTCCTAACATATTTATGAAAACAAATACTTTTAAGGTAACTGTTAAAATTTTCTGCACAAATATGACATTATTAATGACTTTTTTCAGCACAAACATATTCATTAATTTAGGCTTTTGGTTTTCACTTTTAAACAATCGAAAGGCTTTATTTTCCTCCAAACCTTTCTAATTCATGGTCAGACTCTTAAAACCTAAAATCTTTATATTGGCGTTGCATCAAAAAAGAAAATTGACATACTTACTGAATGATTGCCCTCTCTAACAAACTAATCTGTGGCCTATCTCCTCTCATTTTCTAACATAATTTCTTTTTATTCCTCCTACTCTTGTTTTTCTTCTTGACAGAGAGCAAAACACCACCTACTCCCACCTCCCACTTCTGTTTCTGCTTCACGTCACACCAGATAGGATTTTATTTTATTTTTTCCTGGATTTGTCACCACCTATCTTTTTCTTTTGACTTTTTCTGAGAAAAAAAGTCAGAATTCTGAAATTAAAGTCAGAATTTATTTATTATTTCCAGGCGCCCCAATCTCCCTTTGTACATTTACTCTTTTAAAGATTTTACAAAAAAATGTTTGAATTTGTATTTAATTTATTATCTGATTCCTTTAGTCCAAGAAAAGGACAGACGATTTTTGATKAAATAAAACTTGTGGGTTTGTTTTACAACGTTTTGATTATGTGCTGCGGCCTTGAAAGGCAGGTTATAGTAGACTTTATTTGTGTGTCTGCGTTGGTTAGCAAAATATCCCTGAACCTTGATGATTTTATTGAAACTCACAGAAAGTGACCATTGGATGTGCTTCTTCCTGATTAAATTTTGGAGTCAACTTGATTGGCAAACACAAAAGTGGCTAAAAGTTTGTTGATTTTTACAGATATTGAGCTAAACTTTTGTGTGGTTGTAGCTCAGAGTCATTCTCAACTTTGAATGCAAACAGATGACAGAACGTTATTTTAAAAATTTGACCAAAGCGGCTTTAACACTCCCAGTTTTCAGAATCAGATTAAATGGATATGCTTCAAATAACCCCTAAAATATTTTTGTTCAGACACAAACATGTATAGTAGATGGACAGTGATGTGTATGTAAGAACACACTCATTTAGTTACAGATGTTTCTACCGTTTCCAGCTTTCTCCTAAACTGGCAGCATTTGCAGCTGGTTTTCACTGGCACCTGGAAGGAAAATGCGGAACGAGGAARGCAGGAAATAAAATAAGTGCTAACTGTAACAAAGTGACCACTACAGCACGATGGACCAAATTGATTTTCAGAAAGCTTTCAGGGCAGTTAGAGGAAGGAAAACCAGGAGAACAGTAAACCACACGCCGGGCGTTTTGACAAATCCACAGAGTGATGACAAAAGACATCGGCTCTTTTGGCAGTTTGTTCAGGTTTTCCTCAGTCAGCAGTTCCGCGCTGTCCAAAGTAACCCACAAGGAGCAGCAAACCCAGATCCCACTGCTGGAGTGTGATTTAAACAACCACTTTCTTGTCCCTCTGAACAGATTTAAAACCTGAATGGAAGTTTGTTATTACACAAATATTTCTTATATATTTTATTCTTGGACTGTGCTTGAATTTATCATTCTAATTTAGTCAGAATTAGGATTAGTTTATTTAATGAAAGGGACGTTTTTATCTATTTCTTATGGTTGTGAACTTTAGATCACCCTAGTTATTTCTCTAACTTTCCTTCCATGCTGAGGTGAAAACCATGTCCGAATATATTTCAGACAAATCCGACTGAAAGCAACTCTGTTCTGCCAAGACTTAAGAGTTTTTATGTCCTGATGCATCTCAGTAATTGCCAGTATCACTCCACCCCCTGTTAACAATAAGTGTTAATTAGGTGTCAACGATAGCCATGTGATGTGAGTATCAGTCACCTGGAGGCACGACATAAAAGCCTGA